ACTCCATGGCACTGAACAACAGCAACAACAACAACAAAAAGCAAAAGATAATTGTTTGATTTTTCATATTTTCTTCTGTTGAGCATTTGTAAGTCTATATCTGTGTTGAATGCTCCCTTTCAGTATAGCAAGGAACCCTGGTAACAGAATGGTCAAGTACTAAACTGCTATCCAAAAGGTAGGTGATTTGAACCTATCAGCCATTCCATGGGAGAAAAATACGGCTGTCTGCTTCTGTAAAGATTACAACCTTGGAAACCTAATGGGGCAGTTTTTTCTTGTCCTGTAGAGTCTATGAGTCATAATTGATGCACTGGCATTGGGCCTGTGTCTCATTTTGATTTTGGATTATACAAGGCCAGTTATATACTAACCTCTAGCATCATTTTAAGGTTTCAAGGTCAAGAGCCATGCTTCTAAAACTGCTGAAAATGGCTTATTTACAAGCGTTACAGGATGTGATTAGTTAAGATTTTTGTCAACTTGACTGGGCTAGGATTCTCAGTGGTTTAGCAGTTACGATGTAGTTATCGTCACCATGATGAGATCTAATATAATACAGTCAACCCCATGATTATGAGATGATGTAATCATCAGTGATCTGATGTAATTATTCTGTGTTGTAAATCCTCATTTCTATGATGTTAATGATGTCAGATGTAATTTGTAGGATTAGGTTGTGTCTTGAGTCAATCTGTTTTGAGATATAAAAGGAGTGAGCTGAGCTCAGAGGGATCTACTACCAACAAGACAGAAGAGTTGGGAGTGTAGTGTGTCATTTAGACTTGGAGACCTTGCACTGTGAAGCTGCTAACTCCAGGAGAAGGTTGCTGAGAGAGACAAGAACCTTTCCCCAGAGCCGACAAGGAGAGAGACTGCCTAAGAGCTGGCACTCTGAATTTAGTGACCTAAACTTGGAGAGAATGTCTTTTTGTTAAAGGCATCCACTTGTCATATTTCTATTATAGCAGCACTGGATAACTGAGACGCAGGGGAAGGACTACTGATTTTTCCTTTTAGGTTCTTTGGCAATCTTTCCACACACATCCCTAGACTCTTACTCTGTTTTACCTTAGAACTATGTCCCAAAGATTCAAAGAAATAAGAAATTGCAGGCATCAGAAATGTAAAATGTTATGAAATATGACTTAGTGAAATAAGATGAATTACTATGTTCTTATTCTTACTTAGGAGCACTGCCTTATGGGAATCAAAGGAACTGTTAAGCGTAGCACAGACGGAGACTTCATTCATGCTAATGTTGACATTGACTTAATTATCACAGAAGAACCTGAAATTGGCAATATAGAAAAACCTGTAGAAATTTTTCATATAATTGAGCATTTTTGTCTCGGTAGAAGACGGCTTCATCTTTTTGGAAGAGATAGTACCATTCGACCAGGTAGGACTTCACTTTAAAAAAAATTCTTTGTGGTTCCCTGGGATATGGGTGACAAGAAATAAAATACAGAACTGTGTAGGATAAAATTCCATTGGTGTATTTGACTCTCCTAGTTGTACTACAGATACACTGAGCTCACACTTGCCTTGGTGCTCGTCCATGGTTCTCTCTCCTTTTATTCAAATACCTGCTTACTTGCCCTTTTCTCACAACTCTAGATAAACTGGTCAACTTCCCACTCGATTCTCTCTCCTCCCCTCACTCTGTCCCCTTACTGTATTTTCTTCTTCTTCATAGCACTTAACCACTATCTGAATTGTAGATTAATTTGGGTATGTATAGTCAGTCTCTCTAGTATGCAATCTCACAGGCGGCAAAGACTCAGTATTGTGTTCGACGTCTTTGCCAGAGATATAAGGCAAGAAAGGGAAATTAAAGGAATCCAAATTGGCAAAGAAAAAAATTCTCTATTTGCAGGTGGTATATGACCAGATATCTGGTCTTATGTGGGTGCAGTGAGTTAAGCATCATGCTGGTAATCAAAATGCTGGCAGTTTGACGTTGTGGCAGAAAGATAAAGCAGTCTGCTTCTGTAAAGATTTAGTCTCTGAAAAAACCCTATAGAGCAGTTCTGCTCTGTACTGTAGGTTTGCTATGAGTTATAATAGACTCAGTAGCAGTGGGCTTTTGTGTTTTTGCCTTTATTCCGTAAATGAAATGAAGTATTATGATTGATTTCCAAATGTTAAACCTGTCAAAGATTCTTGAATAAACTCCATTTGATTGTTATGTGTTATCCCTTTTATGCATGTCATGATTTTGTTTTCTAATATTGTACTAAAGACTATTGCATTTATGTTACTTCTAAAGAGTGACCTGTAAATTTTAATTCTATTGTCAGTGTCTGTGTGGTATCCATTTCTAGTAAAATAAGTTAAGCCTTATGAAACTCTTCACTGAAAGACTGTGTACAAAGTTGATGTTATTTTTTTACTAATGTGGTGGTGGCTGTGTACCGTGGAGTTGGTTCCGACTTATACTTATTGCGACCCTGTACAGCGTTTCTGAGGCTGTAAATCTTTACGGGTGCAAAATGCCTCATCTTCTCCCATCGTAATGTAATAAGGAGTTCTGGTAGCGTAGTGGTTACGAATCGGGCTGCGAACCTCAAGTTCAGCAGTTTGAAACCACCAGCTGTTGAGCTGGAGAAAGGTGAGGCTCTTTGTTCGCATAAATATTTACAGCCTCGGAAACCCTGTGCAGGGTCGCTATGAGTCAGATCCGACTCCACGGCACATACAACAACAACAACAATGTAGTTGGATGTTATTATATTCGTAGTGTATATATATCTATAGAATGAGCTTTGAGAATTGTTCAGAATTCCTTTAAAAATAATACTTGAACATCTTGTTTAGGAGTTCCTATGGATGTTTTTACTCTTTAATCATAATGAAAATATTTGGACAGCAGAGCTTATGGCAAACAAATGTTCTTCTTCCTGACTTAAAAGAAAATACTATCTCTAAGAACTCAACTGGAGGAATATGTTTGTTCAAAAAGCATAGTTTACTGTATATATTGAACATTAAGATTACAGCTGTAGTGATTGAGTAAATAAAGAACAGATTTTTCTCTTCCATCATTAACCTGTCCTGCCCAAAATAGCTGCTGAATCTGGGAACAATCTCTAGTATCAAGTGCTGTTTTAAGGAATTAGAAAATGTTAAAAAAAAAACAACTAAGATTATCTGAAGAGCTAAGGCAAACATTAAACAGATGCTAATCTTTTAATAATGTGGCACTGTAGGAGTATGTGCTGGACTGCAAGGTCAGTTTGAACTGTAAGGTTGGCAGTTCAAACTTACCAGACACTCCTTGGAAACCCTATACAGGGTCGCCATGAATCGTAACTGACTCTACGGCACTTAACAACAACAGCAACAATATTTTAATAATTGAAAGGTCGTGCAACATTTTAAAAAATTGAAGAGGGAAGGTGATTCATAATCTTAATGCCACCAAGAATTGTTTTCATTTTTTATATAGTATCAAGTCTCTGTCAATATTGTATTGACAAAAAAACATTTTGTATGTTTTTCCTTGATTTGTAGGACTTCATAAATTTCATGGAAAAATAGATAAAAATGTAAAAATATAAATAAAGCAAAGTATAAATACAAAAACAAACATAAAAATATAAAAAAATATATGTATAAATATTTAAAAAATTAAATAGAAGATAGAAATGTAAACTATTTTTCTTTCAACTTAAATCCATCAAAGTCAAAACACTTTTGTAAGTGATTTTATCAGTGAGTTCATGCCTAAAAACTGAAAGTCCTGGGAATTTAACAGGATTAATGCAGTCTTTTTTACGTCATTAAGAAAAATGGGTTCCCTTTAAAGATTTTTTTAAGATTAGGAAGCAAAAAAAAAAAATCAGAAGGAGCTATAATCAATATGGTAAGGTAAATGCCTAATGATTTTCCATCAAAACTCTTGCAAAATTGCTCTTGTTTGATGAGAGGAATAAATAGAAGCATTGTCTTGTTTGAAGGAGGACTCTGGGAAAGCTTTCTCCAGGTGTTTTTCAGTTAAAGCTTTGGCTGAGTTTCTCAAAACACTCTGTAATAAGCAGATGTTACCGTTCTTTAGCCCTCCAGAAAGTCAACAAACAAAATGCCTTGAGGATTCAAAAAAACTGTTGCCATAACCTTTGCTCTTGGCCAATCGGCTTTTGCTTTGACTGGACCATTTTCCCTTCTTGATAGCCATTGCTTTGTTTGTACTTTGTCTTCAGTATTGTTCTGGTAAAGCCATGTTGTATCTCCTATTATAGTTCTAACAAGAAGTGCTTCTGAATCTTGATCTCACTTGTTTCTTTCCATTGAAAACTTGTCCATTTTCTGCAGCTTATCTAGACATAATAGTTTTGGTACCCATTAAGTAGAAAATTTGCTCAACTTTAATTTTTCAGTTAGAATTTTGTAAGCGGAACCAGTTAGGGTGTCTGTGGTGTTGGCTATTATTTCTGCTGTTAATCATAGGTCCTCTTCCATTAGAGCACAAACAAGATTGTTTCCTTGAAAAATTCATGTGACTTGTCTACTGCTATAGAATTTATCTTCAATATCATTTCATCCTTACAATGAGTTTTATACATTTGTAAGCTGCTTATTTCTTTGGGAACATTGTTCCCATAATTTTCCTAAAGCATCAATGATTTCATCGTTCTCCCACCTGTTACTATATAAATTTGATTTTTTTTTTTTTCTTCAAGTTTCACAGAATTCATGTTGGTGTAATAGGGGCTTTTTCAAACCCATGTCTTCTCTTTTGAGTGCCTCAGACTAGATCCTATTCAGATATTATGACAAGTTTATAAAGTTTATTTTGTTACAGTCTTTTTTGTTGAAATACATGTATAGTTTTTTCATAATACACATTTTACATGAACTTTTTTTTAATGTTTTATTGGGAATTATGTGATACTTTACATGGGAGAACGTTAGCTTTACATTTCATCCTACCTTATTCCATTTCATTGCAATGATTACAGTCCCCTGCATGCATCATCAAACAACCAAAGGGTACACCCTGCACGCCTGCCTCCCGGCCATCAACACACAGCCCCTCTCCCTCCCTGAGTCCAGAGTCCCCAGCCACTCCATCTCTCCACACCACTGTCTGTACCTCCATCTCTGGTGTCACTGCTTCTTTGGATAGGGTCCTGCACGCCACTTTTCTCCCTTGATGGTCCCAGGGATCTCTGCTCCTGCACTGCAAAATCAACCACTCCCCTCCTTTTGTTATAAAACATCTACCTTTACATTTGCAACACTCACAGTCAGTCCGGATAGCAATCATTCACTATTGAACCACAAGAGTCTTATCCACATCTCCTTTCATTAGCCCCATCCAGATAGGTTAGAAACTATTCAGTGGAGAGTCTACCTTTCTCCTCACCCTCTTGTACTAGGTTCCCTATTGAAAGCTTGTAAACCAGACACTTCTTATCTTTGTAGCGTCCCCCATTTTTGGTTAGCCAATGTCTAATTTGCCCATCCTTGTCGACCCTATGTACAAAGGGGGTGGGAATGATTCTCGATGTAAAGGTTTGTTCCTTCCTTTGACCTACTGCGTCCACAAGTATAGGTCTTCAAGCTCATTAAATTATAGCAGATTACTCTTTTTTTCCTCTTCTTTCTTCCTCTAGTTGAGTTTTGATCATCCATCCATTGAAGCCGGGTCAAGTGGGTACTATCTGAAAGTGTGGGTGTTGTTATGCATCTCCCCTGACTTCCTATCAGCTGGACACACTCTGCTCCCGTCCTCTGTGGCCATGTCTCTGTCGCTGGGCCGAGGAGTCCTCATGTCTCATCATACTGCTGGCCAACCAGGTCTCAATCCAAGTTAACAGGAGTCATTTGAATGTGGTCTGGCTTAGCTGACAACTTCATTGCTGTTTTTCCCCCACTTCCCCTTATCCGTGACCAACAAAGTCAGCAACAAGAAGACATGCCCGATCGCTTATTCCTCTTGAGTTTTAGTCTTGGAAAGGGGTTTGCCTTGAGGGGACCTGACCACTTGCCTTGTCGGATTGCTGTTACTGTTTTTTTATTTTTCCTGCTGGTCTTTCTTTCTAGAAGTATCTTCTGTTCTTCAAGTAGAAATTTCCCTCCTCAGAGGATTTTGAATGGGAATCAGGATTCCACCTATGGTCTTATGCAATGCAAAGATTGTACAAGATGCCTCCTTCACTGGGCAAATTCTAGTCCCAGTTTAGCTATTCCAATCAGTTATAGGCTGAAGACAGACTTATAATCTTTCTATGGTGATGTTTCTGGCTATTTCTTTCTCTCCCCCTCAAGTATCTATTTTACAATAGTAGGTAAAGGAAACCAAGTTTCAAAAGACAGCCAAGCATCTTAACATTATTTCCCCACTTTTACCCATTCAAGCCATGCCTCAGTCCTTGTATCCCAGAGCCCTGTAGT